TGTTTGTTTGTTGTTGTTTGTTTGTGTTGTTTGTTTGTTTGTTTGTTTGTTTGTTTGTTTGTTTGTTTGTTTGTTTGTTTGTTTGTTTGTTTGTTTGTTTGTTTGTTTGTTGTTTGTTTGTTTGTTTGTTTGTTTGTTTGTTTGTTTGTTTGTTTGTTTGTTTGTTTGTTTGTTTGTTTGTTTGTTTGTTTGTTTGTTTGTTTTGTTTGTTTGTTTGTTTGTTTGTTTGTTTGTTTGTTTGTTTGTTTGTTTGTTTGTTTGTTTGTTTGTTTGTTTGTTTGTTTGTTTGTTTGTTTGTTTGTTTGTTTGTTTGTTTGTTTGTTTGTTTGTTTGTTTGTTTGTTTGTTTGTTTGTTTGTTTGTTTGTTTGTTTGTTTGTTTGTTTGTTTGTTTGTTTGTTTGTTTGTTTGTTTGTTTGTTTGTTTGTTTGTTTGTTTGTTGTTTGTTTGTTTGTTTGTTTGTTTTGTTTGTTTGTTGTTTGTTTGTTTGTTTGTTTGTTTGTTTGTTTGTTTGTTTGTTTGTTTGTTTGTTTGTTTGTTTGTTTGTTTGTTTGTTTGTTTGTTTGTTTGTTTGTTTGTTTGTTTGTTTGTTTGTTTGTTTGTTTGTTTGTTTGTATTGAATAGGCTCCGAAATAACTGGATCGATTTGGCTGAAAATTGGTGGGGAGGTAGCTTAGAACCAGGAGAAGGTTAGAGGATACTTCTGATCCCGGTACCATCAGGAAATTCAAGATGGCGGATCTAATATATTGGACGAGTTTTGTAATTATGGTCCGATTTTATTCAAAATTGGTATCTGGGGGTTTCCGGGGTCAGAGGTTATGATTCTTTCGTCAGAATTTGAAAATCCAAGATGGCGGAACCAATATATGGTGGACGAGTTTTGTAATTATGATCCGATTTTTCTCAAAATTGGTACCTAGGGGTTTTCCTGATCAGGGGATTATGGTTCCTTCGTCAAAATTGAGAAATTCAAGATGGCGGATCCAAAATGACGGATTCTGTAATTAGGATCTGATTTTATTCAAATTTGGTTTCTGGTGGCTCTTGGGGTCGGAGATTATAATTCATTCGGCAAATTAGTAGATTCAAGATGACGGACGAGTATTGTAATTATGATCTGACTCTCTTCAAAATTGTTATCTGGGTGTTTTAGGGGTCGGATATTATGATTCTTTTGTCAAAATTTGGAAAAGGTGGGATATGGAAATTCAAGACGGTGGAACCAATATACCGGGCGAGTTTTGTGATTATATACCGATTCTATTCGAAATTTGTTAGTGAGCGCTTCCGGGATCAAAAATTATGATTATTTCGTCAAAATTAGGGAAATCAAGAAGGTAGATCCAATATTGCGGACGAGTTTTGTAATTATGTTTCGATTTTATTCAAAATTTTCATCTGGGGTTTCGGGAGTCGGATATTATGACTCCTTCGTCAAAATTGGGAAATTCAAGAAAAGAAGTTGAAATGAATGATAGTTTGAAAAACTAAAGAAACACGCTTTTATAGATAGCGATACTAAAAAGGAGTAGAAAATGAAATAATAATATACTATATATATACTGTATATAGCAAAACAACGTGTGCAAGGTCTGCTAGTTGATTATAAAGTGATATTAGCAAGAAAGGATATAATTGATTTCCCCAGATTTCTTTTCCTCGTTTTATTAATAGAAATTAGAAATGTGAGTTTTACTTCAATATATCGTCATGATTCTTTGCGAATCTAAGTTATACAAAACAAATATTTAGGCATAGGATGAACTTATCGACAAATTGGAGATCATGTAAAGATATTACATTGTTTTATATACCTCGTTACATACTTATCTAAGTATTCGATGTGTTCCTCCATTGAATGACTACTTCACCGGTTATATCAACTCCTTAGATCTTGATACAGGGTGAATCGAAAAATCATACACATCAAAATTTGCCATTGAATAAACTAATAGCCTATATGAGATTTTGCATTCAAATTTGGTATGGGGGTATTTCGGCTATGCCTAAATCGAATAGGCTAGTCAATATTACGCAAAAAATTACCTAAAATTCGTTTTGTAATAACAAAAGTAGGCATTCAAAATTTGAATATTTCAGTCATATTACTTGATTATGTGGGATTTTCTCTCTTCGTTAAAGATAAAAATATGAGTATTATTTCAATATTATGTGTACTATAGGATAAATCAGGTGATTTGCCCCAAAATGTCACTGCGTTTAACACAATTTTCTATCAGGGAGCCTCAAAGAAAAATCCAATAGCTTTTCAGTGACACTTTTTGGAAAAATGTTTGAAGATAAGAAATATGTTTTTAGTCATCTTTGGACGTTTCGCCCGTTCTCAACATGAAAATGTGAAAATATTCCTCTTTGAAAATTGTGCTCTTATAAGGCCTGTTCGTTTGTATTGCTAAACTTGCATAGGTTGTTTTTTTCCCCATAGTTGTCTCTGTTCATGGCATGATGTAAACAAAGAAAGTCATAGAAAAAAATCAGTTACAGGATGTTTTCATTGATTGATCTTGAATCTACTATTTTCATGTTCAGTTTTCAGTAGTGAATGTTATGTTCTATCTTTATCAACTGATAACAGGAAGCAATGCTATTGTCTCCGTTAAAAAGAATGCAAGCGGATTCCTTGGTTTTTCTCTTTTGGTTGTTATCTCCCTCTCCTATGATTTCAATATTATTCCACTAATGATGTTCAGTTAGCTTTGTTTCATCGATATGTCTTTTCTTGATATCGTACTTGTGTTCTTTGGTCCTTACTGAGAGAGGCCTCTTCGTTTCACCTGTATAATACTTTCCACAAACACAAGGTATATTATAAATACAATTTTTTGATGATTGTGCTTCAATTCTCGGCTTTGTTTGAGTTAGAACGGATCTCATTGTATTTTCAGTTTTGAACACAGTTTTCACTTGAAACTTATCACCAACACGTTTTATTTTTTCAGATATGCCGTATTCGTCGTTGTTGATGGTTGTTTTTGTTGTGATGTACTTCAATTTGGTGAATCGTTTCATCAATGAAGTTCTTTGGATATGGGAGCTGAGTTGAAGAACATTTTTGATGTAATGGATTTCGTTATTGAAAATTTGTTGGTTTGATGATATTGGTTTGGCTTGATCATGAAGTGATTTGATTATTCCTTCCTTGATAGCTTTCTGATGGAATGATTTATAATTGAGGTATCTATCAGTATATATGAGTCTTTTCACGATATACACTTGTAACGAAAACATTGTTTGATTTTTTAATGTGGACATTTAAAAATGGTAACTGATTGTGAGATTCGTCCACATATTAGAATAGAGCTCGTTGAGTACTATATTATGGAACTTCTGTTTCTGAAAATCGGTCGACAGGTTTCAAATTAGAAGGGTGTTGCGGGTTTAAATCGCACACACTGTACAATGTATACAGGCTCTCGATCATATTATTAAAAATGTCATTGATGATCAGTGTACTTTTGTGTGTGGATGATATTTGAGCATATCCAATTGGGCGAACGTCAGGATGCGGCTTTAGGTAGTTCATACAACTACAAACATTATACAAATAGGTATACCTACTAATTTTAAACTCATATTATTAGAAGTTAGAAGACTCGTAAATATGACACAGCAAACCAAAATAGATTTCAACTTGGATTCATATATCAAAAACGATATTTTATCAGAACTAGCCATGATGTATTGGATATACAGGGTGATTGATAATGCACATAGCATTATATGGTGAGCTCAAAACGGTCCATGAAATTGTTACTGGTGTTCCAGTTATAGAAAACTACAAGTTGATTTTTGTATTACTCTTCATTGATGGAGTCAGTAACCGTCTCTTTCAAAACAGGTACAATATGAATTCAAAAATTCTAGGACCGGGTTAGGGAAAATATTTCTCTGAAATCCTATTGGAAAACTTCACATTCAACTTTGAAACTCTTCATGAAATTCTCATAGCCAACGAGACTACGTTAAATCAAGAATGTTGTTTCCTTGACACATTCGCAGTGAATTTTTTATAAGGATTCGAATAAATGTTGATCCATGGTCACATAATCAATTAGTCATAAATAAACTGATACTCCGTGAATCACTTCAAACACTGTTGGAGCATTCATCCCTAGGGCCAAAGGTCCTCCGGTGGATATTTCCCTCCGGGCGTTAGGATGTATATGTATATCGCACTAGGTACATAATAGTTATTTATGTATCAAGGACGTAAAGTAGGCGTTTATGGCCTGTGGCGTGAATAATGGCCCGATGGCGCTAGCCGAGGGCCATTACACGCTGAAGGCCATAAACGCATTTTACGCACGTGATACATACAAATTTTTATGCACTATAGTGGTCACAAGTAATGACTAGATTTCAACAAACTACAATTCATATGTCACTCATAAATTCAGTTTTCAAGAGAAGGGCAATGTTTATGTGTATAATCTACATATTGAAATTACTGTACCAATATCGCAATTATCGTAAAACTCTTCGTTCACTAACAGAGCATTCCTTGAGATGTAACAATATGTATACCCAGTATATAGGTACCTAAATTTGACGTTGTCAATCAATCTGATGGTTGCTGTCTAGCAATACATCCAAAAAACAAGCTGAAATTGTCATCTTTTCGCTAAAAACTTCAGACAGCCAGAAAGCAACTATTCAAAGAAGGAAGTTATAGCGAAGATGGAATCGGATGAACAATATAACATGTATCATAATCATAACGATAGAATCAGCTGAGAGTTCAAATATGGGTATTCCACAAATGGATGTGTGGAAATGAGGGGCTTGAGAACAGCGGGCGGTAAAGTGCACTTTATGGCCCGTGGGCGATAATGGGCCCGCGGGCGGTAAAGTACTACTTTACGCCCGCAAATCTGGGCAATAAAGTGCACTTCACCGCCCGCTAGTGCATAAATAACTAATTGTACACGCTATAGAGATCCTACTTATGAAAGTGATTCTAGAAGCATTATTCACCTACCTAAACTTTTTTTCACCTTGAGAAACTCACACAATATGGAAACGACTAGAACTACCGAAAACGACTGAAAATTTCCAAAGAAATGGACCTACCCGAATGTAAAATCCCGGGAGACTGTGTCAAATACCTGCGATTTCGAGCCGGCAATCTATTTTTAATATCCAACTTAAGCTCTTAGTTCATTAAAACATAAATATATTCTATATTCTATACTTTGCTATTTAAAATTATCCCAAACAACCGCGCTAAAATATAAACAGATAAGTTTTCATTCGATTCAGGTGCAGACATCAGCGTTGATTAGGTGCTGCCTTGATGAATATTAACTGACAAGTGACAAGTTTATTTTCCTGATGAAATGCCAGATCCGGACTTAATAATTGTGCGCATGTGAATTGCACATCTTTCAATTTGTATTTCCTATATTGTATACCTACATCATATGAGAGATGTTCTGTAACCGCATCTGAGAGCAGAGTGAGAGGGAGTATATTTTCAGTCATGTGACATCTGGAGCAAACTGATAATAGCTATTTATGTACCAAGTGGTCAAGGATCTAGTAATGCTCGTTCACGAAAAAATTATCTTGTTATATTGAAAAGTCGATTTTAAAAAGCGGTTCATTGCTCCTATAGCATTTTCTTTCCATTTTTCTTCTCATGGTAGGCATGACATTTGTTGAATATTGCTGCTGATTAATGCTGTCATCATTTGATTTAGTGAATGTGATTGCTGCTATCTTTGTATGGTCTTAGAGAAATGATGGAAATGAATACGAATTTTTTTTTCATGTTCTGGTTTCCATGAAAAGGGATATCCTGTAATGTTCAGGGAACATCGTGAGAACCAAGAGAAATAAGGAAGGAATTGGTGTTCTTCTTGAATTTCTGGAGGTTATATGCCTCGGGAAACACCTCCCTTGGCAATGTGTTCCAGAGCCTCGCTTTTCGTTGAATGAACGAGTCTTTGGAAAGAGATGTTCTGCAGGTGTCCAAAGTGACCACAAAGGGGTGCGAAGCCTCAACGCGACGGGTTAATCTCGCAGGGACTGCCAAGGAAGGAACAGATCGCCTCTTTGCATTATGCGCAACCCTGATGGCACCTTTGAATTCGATATATTCAAATGGATTTGTCTTACGTTTATGTTCATTGAAGTAGCCTTCCTGTATATAAATAGTTTTCCATATTAATTTCAACTGTGTATTCCTAATATTCCTCACCATTCTCCTCACCCAATTTTTTAGGATTTGGGCAATCACGAGAGATGGAGTAGTCGCACAAAATTCATAGTTTTTCTGCTGGCAGAAAAACATGAATTGTTCCAGACAAACTCTTTACTCTCCTTGTTATTTTCTGATATCGATTCGCTTATATAATTACGAATTTCCGTAGTGAAAGTTGACCCAAAAGGAGACATTTCAATTTTTGAGTGACTTATAGGCACGACAACCATAGCACTCTTATGCTGGCGAAAAGAATAGCCGCTCATATTGTTTGTTTACCTGAATAGCCGCTGATATCGCATATCATGTGACTTCAATCATGACATTTCATAGGTCCAGCCGGATGTGAATGAAATAATCGTGGGTAATATCCCGAGACCATGACAAATAGCCGACTATTATTTTCTTCATAATTCTATCGAGAGTACCTTGTATTTTGACAATTTGATGAGACCATATGAACATAATAAATTCTATGATTATTTATGTTCATATGGTCGAATTGAATTGTCTCAAAATACAAGTTACACGAGATGAATTAAAGAAAATAATAGTCATGCTCGAGTGATATTCAGGAAGATTATTTCATGAATAGTGTAAAAATACTGGTTTATATGAGGTTCAACATTTTCTGAAGGCCGTCTGGGGTATTCTCATCATATCTACGTACAATTGTAATCAATTCATCTAAAGTTAGAGCAAAGAAAGAATATTAACGCTATTGATAGAGTTAATATTCTTTGATTAAAGCTTCTGTACTTTCCTTTCTCGTTTGAGGAAAATATTGTAGGCTTCGTCTTTTTGCATTATGCGTAACCCTGATGGCACCTTTGAATTCGATATATTTAAATGAATTTGTCTTACGTTTATGTTCATTGAAGTAACCTTCCTGTATATAGTTTTCCATATTAATTTCAACTGATGTGTATTCCTTCTATTCCTAACCGTTCTCCTCACCCAATCTTTTAGGATTTGGGCAATCACGAGAGATGGGGTAGTCGCACAAAATTCATAGTTTTTCTGCTGGCAAAAAAACATTAACTGTTCCAGACTCTTTACTCTCCTTGTTATTTTCTGATATCGATTCGCTTACATAATAACGAATTTCCGTAGTGGAAGTTGACCCAAAACGAGACATTTCAATTTTTGAGTGACTGATAGGTATGTCAAAAGTTTCACAACCATAGCACTCTTATGCTGGCGAACAGAATAGCCGCTCATATTGTATTTTTACCTTAATAGCCGCTGATATCGCATATCATGTGACTTCAAATAGGCAACTCTGGTTCTGAGCCACTCATTTCGAACCATTACTTACAGATCGGAAAACAAGCTATTGATCACGAGATAGCGCAATAATAACTAACAGTTTGTAAATGAATAGCTTATTATAAATTATTTTTCCTGGCAATACTCCAATATGATGAATTATTGGTGTTATTGAAAGAACAAAGAATATTGGGAGAAATATTTGCACAAACAATATATATGTGTCTACTGCACCTGTTGATGCTTTGAAAATTATTTCTGCCGAGGTATTCACAAAAAAATATAACGATACCCGGCTCTACAGAAGCTGGCAGCAATCAACTGTTGAGAGGGTATTTTTAATTAGTGTTTTGACGAGAAACAAAGTTTCCCATTCGTCGCATTATGGCGGATGGAGCAATGTTATTGTAACGGAAATTCTATAACGTTTTATAATTGAGAAAGAAAAAAATTATTCAGGGCTGCTCAATACAAACATGAAACTAATTATTCTCATGATGAGCACCTTCGTTCTTAAGAATTATATACAGAAAACAATAGAGGAAAGAAGAAATAATTAAATGTACCATAATCATATAATTATGGTTATCCAGTTTGGTTGTTCGCTTTAAAAAATATTATAGTATATACCTTGGGATATGAGCTATATAATAGCATTTTCACCCTAGGTATATATAAGTGTCATTTTCCCGCAACAGTACGGGAAAATTTTCCCACACTAGTGCGGGAAATTTTTTCCCGCACTAGTGCGGGAAAACAAAGATATGATATAATCGCTAGTAATATAAGTGGTTGGTGATGGAATATAAAAGTTTAAGATTATTTGTTGCAGTATTAAGTTTGTATGTTCAGAATCATCTATCAAATTGCACTATTTATTGTAAAAATTAAGAAATATTGAGAAATAAAAATGGATTATTATAAAAATCCCCCTATAGATTTGGATTGATCTGACGGCAAACGTCAATTTGTCATGTCAATCAAACCTCCAATAAGTTTGAAATTGTCGAAGTGACAGACACAGCGTTACTGTCATTTTCGATTCGGTGGAAATGCCACAATGTGATCAAAAACTTCTAGCTATAGAGATTTGATACAGATGCGTTAATATCACCAACGAAGTCTTAAGAAAGGTATGAGAAGCTATACACGCGTTTTATTGAATGGTGCAACAATAAAGAAATGGAAAAACCGAATGAAGAATAGGTATTTTTGGCTCATTCCATAGAAGTGTCTGGAACCTAGAGACCAAACTCCTAATGGGCCTGCTGGCTTCCGCAATGAACCAACATAATGCGTCAAACTGTAAGTTCACAATAGCTATTACTAATAATTAATAGATAGAGAATATATATCTCTTGTTAGTTGTTCCTATTTGCTTGAATAATTAATTGAACGATTCAATCAATTTCCTACGCTAGTAGAAAAAATATTGTTCCTAACTCATGCGGAAAGTGTCTTTCCCGCACTCGACTGCTTGCCCGAACTCCGCTTCGCGTCGTTCGTGTCAACGGCAGTCACGTGCGGGAAAGAATCACTTTCCGCACTTGTTAGGAAAATTACTATTTCCACTACTAACACTGAAATATGATTCAGATTCATTCATATTTAGGAGCAATGCCAGTAACTAAAATTTTGATATACCAAGTATTGTGTTTTAATGCTAAGCAATATGCCATCTGACGGCATATATCACGTGATCATCAAGTGTGATTAGTTGGTAGTAGTATTGAAGGTTATAATATAATTATACATTCGATTGTGTGACTGATTATCATTTGATTATTTGTTTATACAACCGAATATGGTACACAAATCTTTGGAGACGTTCTGGCAAAATTAAAATTTTGACATATCACACTTGGCGTCAAAAATATATCATTTTTGACAGAATGACAGCGCGAGATAATGAAGGGTAAAATCCCAGTAGCTTAGGAGTTCAGTTGTCAAACAAACTATCAGGAAAATAAACGCTGTGAAATTGTGAATAAATAAAAAAACGAACCCCGCCTGCATGAAGTTAGGAAGGATATACTGATAAATATCGTAAGTAGATATTGAAAATACAGTATTCATTAAATTTTTTTGAAATATTCAAACCTTATGAATTGAATAATCATTGAACTGATGTACATAATGAATCATATCGAAATAGTTTTGATTGGTCAAAGAATGTGTCCATACCGGAAGTCTTGGTTATTTGAATTTTTGGTCTTGGTTGTGAAATTTTCAGAATTGATAATAATCACATTATTCCAAACATTCTTCATAACTTCAAAAAATGATCTCAGTTTCATTCGTATTTTCAACCATATTTGATTCAAAAGATGGTTCCCATTCCATTGGTTGCTATGTAGGTATATTGCATATCATTGACACTGTTAACAGTTTTATATATCGAAGGTGGATCATGTATATACCTATAGGTTGAGTTTCTTTATCAATTCATGATTATTTACCCGTTTTACTTCTCATTAGGGAAAATCTTCGAATAATGGTGATTTCTCAGGTTCGTGGTGAAATAGTTATTTATTATACAAGGGAAAAAAGTTGTAGATTTTAGCTCCAGGTTGTGTTGTCTCCAGACGCGTAGCGGAGGGAGACAAAAAACCGTGAGCTAAAATC